ATGTTGCTGGGAGTGGCCATTCTAGCGACGGCGATCGTCCCCTTCCTCCCAGCGGCACGGGCGGAGGCAAACGTGGGCGTCCCCATCTACACGCCCGCACTGACCGCCTTGCCACCGACTCTGGGCGTGTTGCAGGAAGCGATCCAGCACGAGGCCCGTCACTTCAGCACCGTGGATATCTGTGGCGAGGCCGTTTGTGACCAGATGGTGAGGCAGGCGAACGGACTTGCGAGACTCAAGACCATCAGGAGATATATCGTGGAAGCTGTACGTTTTGGAGGGGCGGCGCTCTTGCCCCTTGTGCTTTGTTTGTTTTGGTTTTTGTTTACTTGTTCTGCTGGTCTGGGCGGGTTAGTTTCAGATGCAATTAATTCCCTGCACGTATATGAATATGTTTATCAATTTGTACAGATGATAGATCGAAGAATATTAGTGCACATGTGCATCTTGGTCATATAACTATTTGACTATTTTTAATTTGTTCCCTTTTCATTTTGTGTCCTATTTTTATTGTTATTTTTATTATTATTGTTTCATATGCATCTCTTTAATTACAAAACACGTCTCAATCTCAGTCCAGGACTTTTATTGCTGATTCACACTGCTGATCAAATATACCCAGTTAATGCATTGAAAAAAAGGAATACATTTCTAAATTAAGACACTTTTGAATTCAAAACATGTTCTGATCATGATAACATTTTCTTAACACAAACAACTTGAGCTGAGCATCTCTACGTTCGTTTTCTCAGAAGTTTAAACTCTACGTGTAGGCCTAATGATTGCAGGCTTTAGTTGCTACTTTACATACATAACTTTGCTTTCAGACCTTATACATTCTGCGAGATACGGTAGTGGAGTCTGGTACTGCTTTTTCTTCTTCTTAAGAATGTGTTGGTTAGATAAAATTATACTGATTTTATAAGATGGCTGCCAAGTCTTGCCGATTTTTTTTCTTATTAACTTTCTCTGTTATACTTGTTTTATTTCTTTTGGGAAGTGACAGAGGAAACACCATACTCAATTGTGATAAAATTACTGCATGCGAATAAGATTAATTATTTTATCCCACTAGAAATCGGCCTTGGTCTATTTCGGAATACAACACACACACACACACGCACACACACACACACACACACACACACACACACACACACATATAGACACACAGACACACACACAGACACACAGACACAGACATACACACACACACACACACACACACACACACACACACACACACACACACACACACACACACACATACACACACACACAGACATACACATACACACACACACACACGCACACACACACACAAATATGTATACCCTTTCACTTTATTAAAATCTCTTCCAAGCACGTCAAGCATAGCATTTTCAACTGCTCAGCTAATGGAGTTTAAAGCCAATTAGGCCTAAACCTTTTTTAAGATTTTTTGGGGGATAAAGTCTTATCTTCCTCACACCTGCACTATGCATAATAGAACATACGTCGCCAGGTTCTGCAACATTTTTCCTAAAAAAAATAGCATATCCTTATTTATACAAGTTGGGTACATGTGCTAAACTAGTGTCCTCTGCTATCATCTGATTGCGAACCAGTCTGGACAAAACGCATATCATTTTGGAACCCGAAGATACATTTGGCTGAAATGGGGTATGTGGAATTCCACAGTTGTATTGAAGTCCACACAGACAGACAGACACACACACACATACACACACACACACAATTCTTTTACCCTTTTCTCGCTTTAAAAAATATTGCTTTTGAGTGCGCGCGTGCATGTGTGTGTGTGTGTGTGTGTGTGTGTGTGTGTGTGTGTGTGTGTGTGTGTGTGTGTGTGTGTGCGTGTGTGTGTGTGTGTGTGTGTATGCGCAGGAGTCTTATTTTTTTAGCGATTAAAGGGCAAAAACCATGTGTGTGTTCCATTTATCTTTGAGTCTTTAATTTCACTTGTCTCTTTCCTTCGAAACAAAACCATGAAGCATTATCCCATGACACCGATTTTTGTGACACTACACGTTTGGCCGAAAGATTAATGTAGAATAATAAAATGAAACGAGGAAAAATAGAAAATTACATCACGTTCCGACTAGACTATCCGAGTATCTCTCTCCCTCAATCTTTTTTCTTTCTTCCCTTGACACTCCATTCTCATTTTCGAATGCTAATGGACATCTCACTCACTTTATCTACGTTGTTTATGGTCTCTGGATGAGGCTGCAGTTTCGGGTTCCCTGCTATTACGATATACACGAAATGCAGGCTTTGATAGGAGACTTATTGACACTCGAACGCGAAGTGACGCAGCGATTTTGGTTACCTTTGGAGCGTTCGCATATGGATTTAGATTCGTCGGAATAAAGATGGCGGTTCTTTTACCATTTACTCGCTAAAGAAAATATGACTATTGTGAAGTCTTTGTAAGGGTTGTCTGCAGTAAATTATTCTATAGAATTTAAATCTGTTTGATTGGGAGTTGTTTGGCATG